GTCAGAGTTCAGCCTGGGGCGTGGCCTGACTTCTCCTGGCTTCTTGGAGCCTCTGTCCAAGTGGGACAGCGGTCAGGGGCTTGAGCTGCAACTGGGAAGGGCTGGACTGACCGCTGCATGTGCCTCCCCGGATCCAGGTGTGCCCTGCCTGGGGAAATCCTGTGGCCGGAAGAGAAAGTGAGCTTCCCAGGACCCCTGACTCGCGACCTCATCAACTTTGGTGCTACTGCTTGGTGGAGAATGTAAACCCTTTGTCACCCCACCCCATGGCCCCCCAGTCCCCACCCCAGGAGGGAACGGGCAGGCCCGGCGGCCGTGGAAATCCACAGGACAAGGAAACAAGAGAGCGGAGGCCCAGGGCCCCGACCAGAAGGCCCCCTACTTCAGAGGCGCGGGGTGGGCCTGGCCCTCTGCCCCCTCCCTGTCCCACCCAGGCGCTCCCCCACACACACACAGCCTCCATCTCCAGGGGAATTGGTGCTACATGCCGGTGCTCCCATCCTCCCGGGGGAAGGAGGAGGGAAAGGCAGCCCCTCGGGGACCCCCCTCCCTGGGGCTCCCTTGAAGATGGTGCAGACACTCTGGGCAGTCTGCCTCCCCCTGCCCACGAGGACCCATCCCTGTCTGGCTGCGGTCCAGTTGGTACCCAAGCACCTTAAGCCTCAAAGCTGGATTCGGTCACATCATCCCTCCTCTCCTCGGTCCACCTCGTCCCCTCTCCCCCACCAATTGCTGTTCCCCACATCTGGGGCACCTTCAGGTTGGAAGACCACCCCCCACTGGGAATAGCCCTTCCCTTTGCTCTTGTGGAGTCCGTCCGCCCATCCACCCATCTGCCCATCCGTCCATCTGTCCGTCCACCGTCCTTGTCCCCATTTGACTGCCCAGCACCACTAGCTGGCTGGGCACACCCGCCATCAAACCCCCCACCCCGCCACCTCCCTCACGCTCACCCAGGGTGTGCAGGGCTGTGGACGGGGGCAGGTGTCTCTCCCCGCCCGGGGTCTCCCCACACGCAGTACTGTATCCCTGTCCCTCCCTCGAGCCACTGTCCTTCAGAGTGGTTCCACCCCTGCCCCGCCCATCTCTTTGTGTCTCGCTGTGATAGATCAATAAATATTTTATTTTTTGTCCTGGACATTTGGGGAATTATTTTTGATTGTTGATGTTCTCTTGTGGGTTTATTGTTGTGCTTAATTGAAAGAAAAATATTTTTTCTGATCCGGGGAGCTATATCTCCAGTAGAAAATTCATTTTAATCACTTTGGTATAACTTGGGATAAAACATACCTTTTTTAAAAAATAAGGAAATTAACTGCTTCTGAAAAGACTAATAAATGAAAACCTTTTGAGGAAACTGTGCCTTGGCCTTCTTTGTCCTCTTCCATCTGCGGTGGCTCGTCCACCACACATGGCGTCTTTGGGAGACTGCTAAACAAAGGCACCTGCTGCTGGCTTCCGGGGCATCGATGCTTCTCCAAATCCGACTTGTCCCTTAACAATGACATCCCCCTCATAGAGGAGGCAGGGCTGGCGGGTCTCCTCCATGGCGGTGGACTCTACCTGCCACTGCGCTTGCCCCATAGGCCCAAGTCCTTGAGCACAGGCCTCCAAACACCAAGGGTGCGGTCAGAGGGGTGGAGGGAACGAAGCTGACCCTTCTGTCCAGATGGAGCCCTCAGCCTTGGTGAACCGCTGCGTAGAGAGGGGAGGAATGTTTGACCTAAGAAAATTCAGAAGATAATCAAGGGACACCTGTTTGCCTCTGAAACAGTCCCTTCTAAAAAAGACCCACCCTCACACACAGCCTGTGTAAGTCATCGCTTTGCTCCTTTGTAAAGTGTACGAAATGACCCTGTGCAGGCGGCACCAGCGGACTCAGCACCCCGTTTCCATGCACCCATTCCCGGAGCCCATCCTCCCCGCCTTGGAGCCAGAAATCCGCAGGGCCTGGGAACGTGCCCCTCTGTGGACCATGCTCTGGGTAGCAGATGCCAGAATTCCTTTCCCAAACTACTGAGCCTACTTCTAGGGCCCGCATGGCCTCACGCCTGCCTCCATCCTCCTGAGAGTGACCCCATTGCCAGTGTACACCTCTGAGCCAGAAGGGCAGCCCAGGAGCTATTTGTTGGGAGTGTGGGTGGGGCTTACCACGCAGACTGGAGTATCTGTGCATTTGCTTGCAAGCACCATGGCGATGCTGGAAGGAGTTGGGATGGAGAAAGAAAGCCAGTGGGCGTGATGCTCAGGGAGACCTTCCCAGAGGATAGGGAAGGGCAAAGGGGGATCCACCCACCCACCCATCCATCCATCCATCCACTTTTTTTTTTTCATCAAGACAGACCCTCGCTCTGTCACCCAGGCTAGAGTGCAGTGGCGTCATCCTAGCTCACTGCAACCTCAAACTCCTAGGCTCAAGCGATCCTCCTGCCCCAGCCTCCTGAGTACCTGGGACTACAGCTGCACTCCACCATGCCCGGCCTTAATTCATTCTTTTCTTCACTCAACAAAATTATCCTTTGCTGGTTCCACCTCAGCTCTCTGGCCTCCAAAAGCAGAATGCAAGCTCAAGCATTCAGCCCTGGGCATTCCCTGCCTTGATTTCTCATAGCTCCTGGCTTTCAATACCACCCATGCATTGGCAACTCCTAAGTTGACATCTCCAGCATGGAACGTTGTCCTGAGCCCAGGACTCGCACATCCAAGGCCAATTCTAACATCTCCACCTGGACGTGCCACAGACATGGCCTAGGGAGCAGGGATCCCCCACCACCAGCCTCGCCACCTCTCCCATCTCGGCAAAGGGCAGCCCGCACTTCCAGCGGCTCAGGCCGAAACTCTGGTGCCATCTCTGCCTCTGCTCGTCTCTCTGCAGATCCTGCAGCAGGTCCTCCAGCACGACCTTCAGAACACATCCAAAGTCTGGCCACTTCTCACCCCCTCGGGGCTGCGCCTGGTACCCCCTCGTCTCTTCCTGGAATGACTGGAACAGCTCCCTGGCTGGGCTCCCCGGCTCTGCCTTCTCTCCACCCAGCGGCCAAAGCAATCCTTTCAAGACACAAGTCAGCCCAGGTCATCATCTGCTCAAAATCCTGCAGTGGCCCCTCGTGTCCCTCAGAGCCAAAGCCAGAAGCCCTTCAGTGGCCAAGGAGCCCCTACCCGCGTGGCACCAGCAGCTCCGACCTCACATCCTGCTACTCAGCCCTCTGGCCCTCGGCCATCCCGTGTGGTCCCCTGGCCCTCTTGTCCTTGAGCACAGCAAGTTGCCCCACTGCTGGCCTTCCCATCTGCTGTCTCTCCTGCCTGGAACGCTCTTCTCTCAGCCACCAGTGCTCCTGCCTCCCTCACCTGCTTCAGGTTTTGACTCAAGCGCCACCTTCTCAGAGGGTCCTTTCCTGACCCCTTTCTATACCTGCAAACTGTGCCTTCCTCCCCTGCCCCAGCCCTCCCTCACTTGTCCCTGCCTTCTTTTTCTCCAGAGCACCTCTCACCATGTAGCAAAGCAGATTTTCCTTCTTTGTTTACTGACTCCCTGCACCAGACTGTAAACTCCCTAAAAATGGGCACTGTTTTAAGAACAAAACAGAAGAAAAATGTTGCCTTCCTTAATTGTATACTGCAGTAGAAAGATGCTAAGGGAATGTGCGGGGCTGATAATGATCCCAGAGAGAGCCAGGTCCTAATCCCTGGAAGCTGTTAAGGTCCCTGTATTTGTTTCCTAGGGCTGCCAAAACAGCGTACCAGGGAGAGGAGAGCTCAAACCACATAGATTTATTTTCTCACTATTCCAGAGGCTACCAGTCTGAGATCAAGGTGTTGGCACGTTTGTTCATTTCGACACCTGTCTCCTTAGCTTGTAGATAGCTGTCTTCTCCCTGTTTCTATTTTTTTTTAATTTTACGGAACGCTTCACAAATTTGCGTGTCATCCTTGCGCAGGGGCCATGCTAATCTTCTCTGTGTCGTTCCAATTTTACTGTATGTGCTGCACTGTCCCTGTGTCTTCCTAGGGTCTTCCCTCTGGGCATGGCTGTGTCACATTGGATTGGGGCCCAGCCTAATGACTTCATTTTGATTTAGTCACCTCGTTAAAGACCCTAACTCCAAATACAGTCACATTCTGAGATAACTGGGGTAAGTACTTCAATATCTGGATTTGGAGGAGACATAATTCAGCCCATAGGAGTTACATTATATGGAAAAAGGATCTTTGCAGATGTGATTAAGTTAAGGACCTTGAGAAAGGTAGGCCATAGATGCCATCACAAGTATCCTTATAAGAAGCTGGAACAGTTGTATGCCAACAAATTGGCAAACCTAGATAAAATAGATAAAATCATAGAAACATACAACCTACCAAGACTGAATCACAAAAGAAATAGAAAATCTGAACAGACTAATAATGAGTAAGGAGATTGAATCAGTAATAAAATGTCTCCCAACAAAGACAAGCCCAGGACCAGATGGCTTCACTGGAGAAGTCTACCAAACATTTAAAGAATTAACAACAATCCTCCTGAAACTCTTCCAAAAAAAATTGAAGAGGAGGGAACACTTCCAATATCATTCTAAGAAGCCAGCATTACCCTAAAACCAAAACCAGACAAAGATACCAGAAAACTCCAGACCAATATCCCCTATGAACATTAATGCAAAAATCCTCAACAAGATACTAGCAAATCAAATTCAATAGCATATTAAAAGGATTATACACCATAACCAAGTGGAATTTATTCCTGAAATGTAAGGACCTTTCAACATATGAAAATAGATTAATGTAATAAAACATATTAAGAGAATGAAAGATGAAAACCACATGATCATCTTAATAGGTGCAGAAAAAGCAATCTTTGACAAAATCCGACACCTTTTCATGATAAAAACACTCAACTAATTAGGAATAGAAGCAAATTCCCTCAACCTAAGGAAGGCTATGTATGAAAAGCCCACAGCTAACGTCACATTCAGTGGGAAAAACTGGAAGCTTTTCCTCTAAGATCAGGAATGAGACAAGGATGCCCACTCTTACCACTTCTATTCAGCATAGTACTAGAAGTCCTACTCAGAACAATTATGCAAAAACAATTTGACATCCAAATTGAACGAAGTAAAGAAAGAAGTAAAATTATCTCTGTTCAAAGATGATAGGATCTTATATGTCAAAGACCCTAAAGATTCAACACACCCACACAAATTAGTTGTGTTTCTATACACTTACAATGAACAATCTGAAAAACAAAGTAAGGAAAAAATTCCATTTACAATAGCAGCAAAAAGAATAAAATACCAGTAATAAACCTGACCGAGGATGTGAAAGATTTGTACACTGAAAACTACAAAACATTGCTGAAAGAAATTAAAGAAGACACAAATACATGGAAAGACATCTCGTGTTCATAGATTGGAAGGCTTAATATTGCTATGATGTCCATTCTACCCAAAATGATCTGAGATTAAGCATAATCCCTGTCAAAATCCCAATGGCATTTATTCCAGAAATAGAAATGTTCATCTTAA